ATTTAATCAGAATGATTTGTAATTTCTTAGTCCTACTGTTCAAAAGAGCATCTCCTTTGAAACTATTGCTTCCTCGCTCTATGCTGTCTCCTTTCGGATGATCTTCCTCCTCCGAGATAAGTTCCTGCGCTACCACAGCCCTATGTATGTATTTGGCCCCAAAAAACAGAATAGTATTTCTCATCTTTTCAGCCACTGCCACCTTTGCATTCTTTAGAATACGCAAAGAATTAACAAGAATGTTCTGACAAAAATTTCGCTCAATAAAGATCCGCTTTAGCATACCGAAAAGCAAAACATATCAACCATGAAACAAACTCTGATCAATAATTAACGTCCATATGAGAAACGCATATGATCCTAAACCTTTAGAGCAGAACAGTAAAAAAAAAGATAGCAAGTCAAGTCAAATTCCAATGTACTCTAAAACACTGAGTTTCATTGTAAAGCTTGAGAGACGATAACTGTTCAGTCTACATATTCTTGTTTATTAACGAGAGAACAGATGCAAAAAACATAACTGAAGCACCATTAGGATGTCTTTTATGAGGCAGAGGTTATATCCACAAAGTTGTCTATTATGAATTTGAGACAGCCAGAATTCAACCCCTCACCGCTAACTCGTTTATGTTCATCTTTGCAGTTCTCGTGAAAACTTTCTAATGTAATTTTTGTAATATTCAGCTCTTAACTTACAGCAAAGAGCGGAAGCTCTACGCTAGGTCTCAAAATGAGGTCAATGTAAACAGGAGGACGACATGTTACAGTATGCCACATTATGCTGCGTGCACAACTGCTCCGCTATGTCTACAGTACATAAGCGCGACGGTACACTATGGTGTACTAGAGTATAGTGGAGTGATTAAGAATGTAATATGTTGCAACATGTCACATGTGCTACAGCATACTTAATATGCAGTATGCCAAACTATGCCGCAGTATGTTGCTGGATGTAGTTTTCTTTGGATCAACAACCTACATACATACAAACATACACATAGCGATGCGCCTTAATAAGCTGATTCTAAATATGTCTTGAAATTGGCCGAAAAAAGTACACGGAAGCCTTTCATATGGCGGGAATGATTTACAAATGCGGTAAAGCTCACTCAAATCTAAAGCGGCAATGAAGGTCACCGACCAAAATCGGCTTTTTCCCAAGCTGAGTTGTACCCTATCTAACTATTAGGAAAGGGTTTTTTTCAAAAAGGCTTT